GCTTGAAGATTAAGAAAAAAAGTAAAAAGAAAAAAATTAATATTTAACTCTCCATCTTTCTTTAAAGTGTCTTCCCAGTGATTTTTATTTGGGAAAAAAACCTTTTAATAGGACTGAAGAGAAGCCATCTTCTCCTGTTCCACCTCCTGGAGCCAGCTGTGAGGGGTACAAGGGAATCCGTAGTGCCCAAATGTTCCTGTTGGTAATGGATCCAGTGAATAGTCAAGCCTGTTCAAGTCACTGTGGAGCATGCTAAAATGCCATTTAATGAAAGCAGTCCTCTGATTACCATAAGAAGCCGTTAGCTCTCGTAGCAGTTGTGAGCTGGCTCTTGTAAACAAGTGTCAGCCTGGTCAAGTGGTGGATTCCAGTCTCTGTTCCACCTCTGCTGAAGCCACACATTGCTGCCAAATGAGACTTGGATGAAATTCAAGCCCGAGCCTGTTGGTCTCATTCTTTCCAACTGCTTCCATGGCAGACAAGCACTGTTTGTCAAAATTCTGACATTGCATTTTCAGTTCCTTTTCACCCCTCTGCTTAGAATCTGGCAGTATAGCAAATACATGCACATATATGCATTCATTTGTACTTTGATAAGATTTTGACAGGCCTAAATTGTATCATATTATACTCATAGAACAGAAACACAGGGAAATGTGAGATACTTGTCTCTCTGGTGCATTTCCCAGCCACCAGGCATGGTTCACTGTGCCTAGGCTGGTCTCTACAATAGTATTTTGTATGGGAAAAATAGAAAAGACTGACCACTTTTCCATATCTACCGAGAAATGAAAGCCTGTTACACATCTTGAAAAGACTTTTCAAATCAAAATAATGAGGTACCAGCTAAAAACTGCACATTTGGGATAATAAGAGCACACTTAGTTAATCCTTGGAGGCATTGGTCTAAAGTAATCTCTGCCCCCAAGCAGGAAAATTTACACCCCTTGTGATGTAAAATGCTTCCAAAATGAAAAATGTTTATGCTGAAATTTTCAATGTGGTTGTTCCTTTTTTGTGATACCCAGGACATTTACAAAAAGCAGTATTAAAGGAAGCACACAGAACACATTGAAAATCATTCTGTGTAGTAGGTTTTAAGCCAGTCCCCCACAAACTAATGAATTTGAAAAACCCAGCTGAAGATCTAAACAAGTGATTAGGATGCTTAGAAACCTTATGCAGCACCTCAGTTCCCATCTGTTGAAGAGAATGGGGCTCTCTAACCTAAATGTTAAGTCTTTTTACTGTCCTCTCAAAACTGGAAGCTTCTTCAGGTTCATTTTACCAGACCAGAAGCCAATTGAGACCGGTTGCAATGTGTTTCTCCATTGTTTTGCTTGTCTAGTAGCCATTTACACATGAACACATGCTTCCACTAGAAGAGCTTTGACTCCACAGAACTCCTGCCTATGTGGCCCTAATATTAAATATTCAAGGCAGAGTCTTTATCCTGCATTTCTTCTATTTACAGTCAGATCTGAGTCTCCATGGTCCCACCAACTGCACTAATTGCCTTACCAATTGGTCTTCCTAATGTCTGCTATGTGTTGGCCCAACTTGCAAGGAAAAAAAAAATAAAAAAAATAAAATAGTCAGATTCCTGCAGCACACCAGCTGGTTTCCCCCCATCTTCTTCTCTTCTATTGTGAAACTACATATATCTGCATTATCTTCAGAGCTGAGTAAGAAAAGCCATAAATATCCTTTATTTCCACTTTGCACGATGGAAATACAGTTATGGTTCTACAGGTGCAGACCTGGCATTAGGATTTAGCCTGCTGCCTGTGGCATGTCAGAGTCTCTAGTTGCATTGGATTGCTTTTCACCATGGTTCACTGGTTTCAAGAATACAAACTGGATGATACTAGTTTGCTGGTTTAGTTATCACCTTCCAATCACAGTGACTAAGAAGTCATATTGTGTGTGTACATATTGTCAGTCCTGTAACTGCTCTTGTAATTGCATTTTGTCTGAAGTGCATTTTACTGCAGGACCAGCCTATTTTTTTTAAAAAAAACAAAACCACAAACAACCCAAGACTAAAGCTTAGCCTGTGCTGCTGAAAGGATCCAGGAAAGAATTATCCATTCGAATCTCAGCGGAATTTCGGGAATTTAGCTCTTTTTTTGAACTCTTTGCAAGCCCCAGCTGTAATCAGCTATTTAAAGCAGAGATTTTACCATGCAGAGTGCTACATATCTTCCACTCCAAATGCAGTTTTCTGTACACAGGGCACCTTACACAGATCTCTTGCTCCTGCCTTTGGGAGATTATATATATAGCAGTTTATTAGGGAGGAGTAATATTCTGCTGCATTTTAATGCTTTAAGCTCTGCAAATCTAGAATATCTAGGGGGAAGGGAGAGATTACTGGATCATTTTCTGAAAACGTGAGCAATACTGTCAGCTAGTCCATTTTGAGAGGTACTAGTTCAATCCCATTGTCCTCAAATTACCTTATTTCTGTACTTGCACAGCAGTATGAGAAAAACAAGCAAAAAGGCTTTACTGCTGTAAACAAGGAAAGATTTCATAACCTACTTTGAGCCCCAGATCCCTAACGGGGTTTCCAGGGCTTCTTATATTTTCTACTTATCAGGTGGATAGGTTTTGACCCATGTGAATGTCAGATTGCCATACAGGCAGTGTATTTTTAAGGAGCAAGCTTCATACAGGGTAAGGTCCTTCACAGTTGAAGATCAGTATGGTCAACATAGTTGTCTGTCACTTGTGGCAGTTAAAAACTGGGGGGTTTTGCTGTGACTTATTTTTCTTCTTTGAGACACTCCACTCTTGTTTAATGGGGATAGAGTAAACAAATGTGTGTTGTACTGCTGTTTGCCATGCTGTCTCCTTGAGAAATGCTCTTTTAGTGTTTGAGTACAGAAGTGCCCTCAATCAGAAGAAAGTAAAAACCAAGAGGTCTTTTATTTTTGGTGGAGTTTCTGGCTTTCCTCCCTTGATTAGTTCTCAGATAATTAGGCTTCTGAAAAGAAAGGATTCAGTTTGTGCTAATTGGAGTATGACGTTTACTGTTATTGATCTGCAAATCCCAGATATATTCTGATCTTTATTGCACTTCACCTCCATTTTTATTCCTGTGTGATAATCTTTACAAAGTCTGGTTCTGCTGCATTAGAGGTTGGTTTCAGTGTCTGTATAATGTTTGCTACTATTGTAGTGTGACTTCTTATTTTCATTTTTTTTAAATTTGTATTGGTACAGCCTTAACTTACAGAATTAAAGACCATTTAAAAATTATTCAAAATAGTCATTGATGTCTGTGATATGTGCATGCTTTATTCCAGTATTTTGTCTGTAATTAGGTATAGCAACCAAGTCTCATGTATTTAATAAACTGTTTTCTGCAAAGCTGACTGCTTTCTTTAATCAAGTGAAAACAACTCAGTGGGCATTTCAAAGCATGTGTTATAAAAAAAGCACAAGCTGTGTCTCATGCTTTTCAAGTATGAGTATCTGCATCGCTGGGAAGTTCCCATGGACCTGTGGTGCATTTTGATTAGCAGAGTGCAAATAGGCTTACAAAGAAATAGTGGCTGCCATGCCCTCTTAAACTTTTTGGGTTGTGTTTCAGGAAAACATTTAAACAATTGCTGAAGTGAGGCCTTTCCTACTCAAGAATGTACTTATGAGCAATCTTGACTTGAACCATGTGTTCATTTCATCGTTTAAAGCCTACATCCTGAGAGCCATTTTGGAGTGCCTTTTGGAAGTTGTTTTCCCAAACTTCATACAGTTACATCAATTCCAAGTCACAGTTTGGCTTGCAATTATTTATTTTGCACTCAGAACTTAAGCAGTAGTGTCTGCTCTCCACATAGTTTTGTTTTAATGTTCATCTAGAATAAAATTAAATGTGCATCCAAGGATATGAATCTTTTAAGATAGTTGCTTGTCAGGTCTGAATTTTCTCTGTTCAAGAGGTTTTAAAATTAAAGGACCAGAAAACTAAGGTAATAAAGCCCCTATATTGTGAAAGAGAAACATTCCAAGTAAAAAAATCCCTTAGGAAATTCCACAGAGCTGCTGTTCATGGGATGATGACTGTGTTGGAGAAGGTTAGAATGCTTTGTGTTCTGCCAAATGAACATGAGAAAAATGGAAAAAGCCAAGTTCCTGAGGGAACTGCCATCTAAGGAATGACAATGTGCCTTGCTGTTAGGACATCAGCACAGGATAGTGCAGGATAGTAAAAGCTAAGTGACACCAGGGGTGAGGTATAGAAGAAAATGATTTTCACCAGGTATTTTGGGACTACGTTTCCATCACCTGTCAAATTCTGCTAAAAAAATCCCCTTCTAGCTTGGTACTAGTGATGGGATTGTGTTGCTCAGCACAACAATATGTAAAAGGCAAACTCAATGGTCCTGCTGTGGTCCCACTGACCAGTGGAAAGAGAAAACAGAAGCCTTCAGATGAAGAGACAGAGAAGTAAGGTATGGACAGGTGATGCCCAGGGGCTAAGGTGCTTTCACTGTCTGTTGTACAGTAAATCTGTTGGATTAAATTCTATAGCTTGGATTAAAGTGTCTTCACAGAGGTTGAAGTTAATGAGCTTTCCTTTGGTGCAAAAGTGAGTATACAGCAGATGTTTAATGGTAATGTGTTTAATGAAGATTAAGCTAAGCAAATTGGTAAAGTTTTGGTGACTCAGCTGCTTTCACCTTTCCCTTTGTACACTGCTTAATTCAGATTGCCACTTCAAGAACTGCAGTGCTTCCACAGCCTGTGGGATGGCTGTGTGTCCTTTCCTGCTTCTTTGATACCTGGGGATAACCAGCAGCAGTGTGCACATACTGGGGACAGTGCTGCAGGGCCCAGGCCTTCTGAGTAGCTAAGTGAACAGCACTGAGGAATTCTAGTTGGGCAATCTGGAGTTTCCCCAGGATGAACTCACTAAAGTGATGGAATCTTCTGAGCTCAGTTGTGGCTGAATATATCTGCGCATTGTATTCACAACATTACTGAAGAACATCATGGCTGCAACCGATGCAGAAGTTGCTAAGGGACACTATGGCACACTGCCTCTTCAGATAGGCTTTGAGAGTGGCAAACTGAGGTCTGTAAGTCACTGATGGTTTTCTTTGTAATATACATCAAAGACAAATGGAAATAGGCAGCTATCTCTGAAAAGATCCACAAGACTTCTTTTTAGTGTAGCCTGATGGCTTACTGTGTTACAATCTTCAGTATTGGTACCTCTCAAGGAGACTAATTAGTAAGAAACAAACCAAAAAAAACCACAAAAAAACACCACAAACAAACAAACAAACAAACTCATGGTTTTGTTTGTGTATGGACACTTCATACTAAGGGCCAAATTCCAACAGGTACCCAAAAGAAAATGCACGTGCAAGACTGGCAGCACATGAGACATGCTTATTGCTGCTTCTCTAAAAACTGTGAGGAGATGACACCTCAGGGAGTTTGAAGACAAAATCCTGTATGTAGCATGATACAAGTGGTATTCCCCAGGGATTGGTATTTGGACCAGCGCAGTTTAACATCTTTGTCAGTGACATGGACAGTGGGACTGAGTGCACCCTCAGCAAGTTTGCAGACACCAAGCTGTTTGGTGTGGTTGACACCCTGGAGGGAAGGGATGCCATCCAGAGGGCCCTTGACAGGTTTGAGGAACGAGTCTATGAGAACCTTGTGAAGTCCAACAAGGTCAAGTGCAAGGTGTTACACCTGGGTGGGAGCAATCCCAAGCACATGTACAGGCTGGGCAGAGAATGGATTGGGAGCAGCCCTGAGGAGAACAACTTGGGGCTGCTAGTGAATGAGAGGCTGGACATGACCCAGTAATGTGTACTCACAGCCCAGAAACGCAATCACATCCTGGGCTGCATCAAAAGCAGCATGGCCAGCCAGCCAAGGAAGGGGATTCTGCCTCTCTATTCCACTCTTGTGAGACCCCACGTGGAGTGCTGTGTCCAGCTCTGGGGCCCCCAACATAAGAAAGATGTGGATCTGCTGGAGCAAGTCCAGAGGAGGGCAATGATGATGATCAGGAGGCTGGAGCCCCTTTCCTACAGGACAGGCTGAGACAGCTGGGGCTGTTCAGCCTGAGGAAGAGACCTTACAGCACCTTCCACTACCTGAAGCACGGCTACAAACAGCTGCAGAAGGACTTCTACAAGGGCCTATAGTATAGGACAAGAGGGAATGTATCTGAAAGAATGTAGGTTTAGATTAGCTATTAGGAAGAAATTCTTTACTGGTAGTAAGACACTGTAACAGGTTACCCAAGGAAGCGGTGGGTGCTCCATCTCAAAGTATTCAAGGCCAGGTTGGATGGGGCTTTCAGCAACCCGGTCTAGTTAAAGGTTTCCTTGCCCATGGAAGGGGTTGGATCTAGATGATCTTTAAGGTCCTTTCCAACCAAAACCATTCTATGATTATTCACCTCAAAACACCTTATGTACTTGCAAGTACATACATTTTTAGTTATTCTTGTCCCCATGAAAAAAGGGCAAATGAAACAGGACTGGAGAAAAAAAACCCTTCAAATGTATAGCCAGGGAAAGGCAAAAGGCAGAGAGAAGCACTGAGTGCTGAGGAGATAGGATGCTGCTAGCCATGGAGATGCTAACCCTGTAATACCAGATGATACCATTTTTCTGTGTTTGGAAGGATATTTCTGTCTATCTGGCAAGGGACACTCAGAAAGGTTTTTGGAGCTCAGAGTTGCCAGATGTTTCCATGCGCTGAAGGTTACCTGAGGAAACAGTTGAGCAGACAAGCATTGCCTATCCTACAAAGACAGCTAAGTTGTATCCTCTGCAATACCATCTGCTTTGGGGGTCACCTCTCCGCATTATGTGGGTCCTTCAGGCTTCTGGGTCTGGAGCTCCTTCTGAAAGAGGGATTGTTCACACAGTTGTAAAATGTGGTCATCAAACTACTCAGCAGACCAGAAACGGGTCAGGCCATGTTGCTGCTTTATCAGGCACCTAGCACTTACAAGCCAGCAGGGAGCACAGGAGTATCTCCTGACTCATGTTGTGAAAGCCTAGTGGCCTTTAAACAGCATCTAAATCCCTGTTCTTTCTGGACAACAGTGGTATCTGCCTGTGGTATGTGTCAGCGTTTCTGCAGCATGGGCTAACACAAAAACTGAGTAAAAGTCAGTTAAAGCTGAGTAGAATCTGAGGGGTTTAGGACCGTACAGATATTGCACAGGTCTTTATCTTCTTTATTTACAGTAGATGGGGTGGAGTTTAGTATGTTTGCTTCCATAGAGGGAGGATGATTACAAAACCCCAGCTTTTATGAAATAGTGCCACTGAGATGGTGATGCTAATTTGCTATATGAACAGCATTAGGTACTCCGTGAGGAACTGCCTTTGCTTTAGGGGAAGCATACAGAGATGCAAAGTGAAATCAGAGCTGAGATCTCACCGGTTCTGATGGCATCTTACTGGCTCATCTGGCAACCCTCCTCTTCTTTCTTCACCAAACACACACCCACAGTGCAATTCCTTGCATCAGCATGGACTAGGGCATTAGGTGTCTAGACATTTACCATGTGCATTTCAGCTTAAACGGTCTGGCATGGAGCGCCCACAAACCACCAGATAATAGCACACTTGTCTGCATAGATGTAGGGCATGTGCATGTTTCGGCAAGCAAATGTAACTGTTTTCCTTCTGTATCATCTCAATGACAGAAGTTTGGCAAGCAAACCTGTGCCTGCACATATGGCTGTTCTGTGTGATTTTGAAGGGTTTCTGCCGTGAATGTGGCATCAGGTAAGCCAAACACAAAGAAGACTTGTCTAAAGGAACCTTCATTATGGAGCTGCTTCAGTGCTGCATGTTCACAGAGCTAGCCCGTATCCCCTGAAGTGTGTTTAGAAAATAAGCCTTCCAGTATCTTCCAGGAAGAGGGAAGCAAAAGACTTATTAGGAGTAAGGGAGCAGGACTGAGATTTAGGTGCAAGATCTCCTCAATTTTTGACATTTACTTATGTGTACCTACAGCAGTACTGAGTCTGGGCAGGCAGCCTGTGAGATACACACGTAAAAATTCAGTCTCGTCTTGTGAGACTTGATCCAGAACCTTCTAGCGCTGATGTGATTATAACCCAGAGCACTGGGGCTTGCAAGGCTCTTCAGATATGTGATGTGTGTTCCTGGATGCTCAATGTTTTTCTAAATTCTGTCTGACAAGTCTCAGTGAGAACTCCTGTCCACACTGGGTAAGGGTGTAGGTTTCATTAGTGTCTCCTGGTGATCTCCCAACAGTATTCCATGAAGTGTTCAGACATCATTTCAAACTCTGAGAGCACCATCGAGCTGCTGGCAGGCAATGCTGGGCAAAGAACTTTGTGGTTTGTTATACAGCCACTAAAGTTAGAGATGAAAGCAGGATGTGAATACCCTTATCTTAAAACAGAGCCCATGCGCTGGTGTGGTATTGAATCAAGATCCCAAACTTTCCCAGAACTCCTCCACACTGTCCAAGAATGAAAGGGATAAACTGTTTCCTTTCAGACAAAAGAAAGCAAATTGTGCTGATTTAAAAAAATAAATCAGAAGCAAGGATGCTATATCTCCTGCAGGACTGAAAAGCAGGGCGATTCTTGTTCCAGCCTTCCAGTGATGTGACACCCTTATAGATGGTAGCTGATACATGCCTGCCATCACAAAACCATCATTTTATTTCATTTTTATTTTGTTGTGCTAAGACTCCTTTGCTGCAAATACTAGAGCTGCTCACTGCTCACAGTAGCCATCAATTTCTGATCTGGCTACACGTTGAAACCTTAGATCAACTCATGTGATTTTTTGTAGCTTATGAGGACAAGGTGTCTAGTGGGAAGAAAAGGAAAAAGTGATATAGACTTTAATGGACATCACCATGTATATGGTATAAAACATCACTGAATGCCCATGCATACAACCTGTTCTGGTGCAGCACTTGACTCACTGTCCCAGTTCAGAACTGAAGTAGCACCTGTTACTTTTAGCACTATCAAGTATCAGAGCTCACCTCAAACCAGGAGCCCCAGTTTTGAAAATCTGGAATACGGAGAAACCATGAACTATGACTTAATTTCCTATGACAAACCCTGCATTGGGAAGCCAGGAGCAATCTAAGTCTGTGTCTTCTGCTGTGGTTCAATAAATTGCCTGAGTCATACTGTGATTGAAAAAACAACCACCATAACTTTCACACTGAGGCCTGTCGGAAGTTAATTAATCCCTGTGGAATTAATTGCAGTGTGAGAATTTAATCAAGGCTGGTGCTGTTATACCTTCCACGATAATTGGAGTTGTATGGTTAGGCTCCACTTTAGTAGGCTCTTTCCTAAAATAATCTCAGAAGCAGTCCTTGGGTGAACCACTGTGAGCCAGTGGCAGCTCATGAGATGGCAACTTCAGAAGCCAAGAAGCAAGCAGCTTGTGGGAAATGTGAGGCTGAATGTTACTAATCCATGGGCTGGACAAAGAAACATCCTGGGAGGTACAAGGCTTTATGGAGAACTGGTAGGAAGCAAACAGTGCCTGAACAGTCATTGCAAAAGGGTTGTAGCAAGACCTGAGGGCACAAGAGGGCAAACCTTAGTCAAGGAGACTGCCAGTGAGTGAACAGCTCACCATTTCCTCCAGCATCATGGTCCTTCTTTAGCAGAGTTGTCCACCTAACAACTACTAAGCATAGCTCATGAAGTGGCTGCCAGGCACCACAGGTAGTGGTCATCACAGAGGAGGAACATTTGCTGTAAGCAAAGCTTTTAAACACAGCTTAGTTTAGAAAAATACCTGCAGCCTACCTTTCAGATGGAAATGAGTCCTATTTTTGTCCACTGAGCAGTTGCAATGTACAGAAGGAAGATAGGGTCCCTTCAGTCTATGAGACCTCTGCTCCTGGACAGGCACAGCGATGTAAGTGTCACATGTGCCCTCTGTGTTGCATGAGTTTTCCAGAAATCTTTCTTGGGGTCTTCAAAAGGAGAACCTGTGCTGTCAGGGATGTGCAGACCACAGACTGAAGACTCCTGTTATAGAAGCACCCAGTGCGCAGAGGATTAAACAACATGCTTGCAGTGTTAGCCTGTGCACAGTGCATCCATTCAGCTTTCCAGCTTGTTTTGCCTGCAGTGGGTCCTTCAGTTGGGTTTCTGCAGTTCCTTTACCTTTTACATACTATGTTAACAGCAAAATCTGCAACAACAGAAAATTCTTTTTAAAACTACCTCTTCCCAATGTGCAGGGCTGCACCTCTGGGGCTGCAGTAACAGTCAGCAGTGGCTGAAGATCTGAAGGTTAGAAGAAGAAATCCAACATCTCTCTTGACTCCTGACTGTACCACCTCTTCCCTTCTCCTGCTACACTAAGATGGTGGCTGTGGGGATCCGTAGCACAGTGCATGCATGTTCAGACCACCCTTCACAGGAAAATTCATTGAGCTGCAAAATCCTAGCAGCTTCAGCCCTGTAAAAAGTAGACTTAAAGTATAGTAGATATAATAAAATTGTAGTGGTAGCATAAAAATGTATTACTCTTTCATAAAGGGTATTAATTGTCTGAACATCTATAAAAAGATTTTCCATCAATCCTTTACTTTCACTTCTCACCTGTAGGGCTGAAACTCTCCTTTTAATAAGTGTATACTGCGTATCTTCACTTAGCTCATGGTACTCATCAATATGCACCTGCCTTTGGTCAATTGAAGCAACAGGATCTGGTTCCGTTGTGCCTAACAGGGAGAAGAAAGTGGCTGTGAGTGGAAAATCCTATTTGACCAGCATTGCCTGTCCAGCTGGCACAGACAGCTGTGGTGGAGAGATGCACTGGCAGAACAGTGTCTGGCTGTATAAGAATAGGGTGAGTTTTTCCCGGCCCCTGAGTCAATTAACAAAGGGAAAACCCTTGCCTTTGCCATGCCCTCACTGTTTCTACAGCAAGGCAAAAGATACTGTGTTACTTCCTCTCTATTACTGGCTCTATGTGACAGTACATTTTCAGCTTTGCAGCAACCTTGGGGTGACTTCATGTTGGTGCCTGTTCTGACACATCTGAGTTTTCAGTGCATAAACTCATGAGAAATCATCAGGGAAGTTCATCTTTCTTAAATTCTTCACATTTTGTGAAAAACACCCAAGTTGCTATCAGTCAGAAACTGTGGTAGCATGTCACAGGGATGAGCTACCTTTATCCTCTTTCTTTATTTGTTTTCTACCACATTTGACTAAGCTCAAGAAGTTTCCCATTTTTAATTTTGATGATGATTTCAAGTACCTGTTTATCAGTGTTGTGAGTCCCAACACCACCCTCCATAGTCACAATGTGTGGAGATACTGGTGCATGACTCACAAATTACGTGGATATCACTAACATCACAAAACTTAGCAAAATGCTGTGCTTTCAGTGCTGGGAGCCAGCCCCTCTGGTCAAATGAAGTCATCATAAAGTTTAAAAAGAGGTGGAAATTCAGCATTCTTTATATCCTTGTAGTCTTGGGGACCTTCCAAATTTCTCCTAATAAAGTTGTAACTTTTTCACACCTTATTTCCTTTATGGTTGAGCAAGTAGCTTGGAAACCCAGGGTGATGATGAAGATTTCCTTGTACATAATACTTGTGCACCACCTTGGTCTCATGCTCCATTCAACAAAATTTCCTGCTGTTGACCTAAGGTCACACTGTTTGCACGATTTCTGCTTCTAGAGCTAGCCCACCTAATTCAGAACATTTGAGGACCTTTCTCTAAAAATGAACTCCCAGAAATGTAAGTTTCCCCAATAATAAGGACTATGGCTGAGGTCCAAACTATAAAAGCCCTGCTCACGATTTTATAACTAAGTTTCTCTGTTAGGTTGATCCAAGACATTGGCTGGCTAAAGCAGCCTGACTGGCAGCCTGACTACAACACTGACATCTCATGGCTAAAAGAAGCTGCTACTACTTCTCCATTTTCTCCTCCTCTTACTCCTCCTTCACCTACTTCTTCATCTGAAAAGTATCCATTTCCCTATGTAATGTAGAGAGTATTACATGAAATGGTGGGCCACACATTTGCACATGGTCACACTTCAGTGTGACTGGAATGTTCATTCACTGCAAAAAGACAGGAATTTGGCTTGTTTTGAATCCAGATTTCTACAGCTGGTGCAAAAGTGGTGCCAACAAGCTACATGCATCTGGTGTGTCTGAGCACTCCTACACCATGGGGTTTCAGTGCACTTCTTTTGCTTAGACAAACACACAGCCTCTTCCCAAAACTCCAAAGCTGCATGAAGGAGAAGCATCAAAGCTGCTGCAGGTTTCTTCAGATACAGCATGGAGAAGCTGTAAATGTGTTTTCCCAACCTGTGATGCATTTCCTTCCCATGAGTACCTTTCCCCTTCCTCTTGTTCCAGATCCCAGCAGTGAACCTCAATGAACTCCTGGAGAATTTTTATATTACCATGAAGAAAATAGATGGCTCTGACTTTCTAGCCACATCCTACAACACTATCCAACGAGGCTTGGACTGGATCCTCAAGAATTCTGGGGCTGCTTTCTCCATCACCAGCAGCACCTTCAGTTCTTCCACCAGAAAGCTTGAGGAGAAGTTTAAGGTCCTGAGCAAGGCTCACATGTCTAGTGCCTGCTCTCACAACATTGTCTACTTCTTCCTTGCTGCTGAGGAAGAGATTTGGAGGATGGGATGTCTGGGAGATGAGAGCTGTGTAGTTCTGCTCTCCATGGTGATGAAATACAACAGCAGGTATCTGAACATGCAAACCTTGCAGGAGCACACACACTTGAAGTTTGATGACACTGAATTGCTTAAAGACTCCCAGAGCAGGTCTTTTTTATTTTATTTTGCCAGAACAGATAGAAGGAAGCAGCAAAACAGGCTGAACACAAATAGAATGTGTTACAGCCAGATCTACCACGAGCACTCAAAAGGGCACAACCTCTGCCCATACTGCCCTCTCTACAAGTACATGTACATACAGCAGCCCCTAACATAGATGGAGGCCAAGTCTCCCACTTACCTGGTGGCTCAGAAGGAGGTCAGTGGCATCTGGTAGAATGAGCCAAGAATGGGAATCTGCTCCCTTAGGGGTGTCATCCCCAGGCTGGCGAAGAAAGTGAAGCTGGAGGACTCTGAAAATTCTACTTTTGGCTCTTTCACTCAGGCTTCCAGGAATTTTGTCCCTCTTGGCATGTAAGGCAGAGCAACTCTGTTCTCTGTCTTCTCTTGCCAGCCAGCGCCCCAAGAAGCTCTTCACCCTGTAGCTTTAGGATGATGTGAACAAGTTGAGCTGCTTTCAAACAAGAACAAAAAGTGGAACAGCAGGACATTAAATTCTTCCTGAGGAGGACTGAACATGGTGTGGTCCTATTTTGGGATGAATACAGCCTTGTTCTGAAGAGTAGGGGCGCTGTGCTCTCCTTCAGAACCACCCAGTCTTCCAAGGAGAAAGGTGATGGAGAACTTTTTCCTCATTGGAGGCAGTAACATGTATATCATGGATTTTCCTCTTTAGCAAGCATAGCCAGGAGAAAGGAGATTTGGGGACCAGGAGCTCCTTAAGAGGAGTGCCTATGCTTTCAGAGCTACTGTACAAAACTTATTCTCTCGCGAATCATATTTTTTTATGGTTCACAGCTTTGTCCACTTGTTTGGTGTATTGTGAAAATATTTTTTTTCAATACCTGGTCATTTACAGTAGACATGTAGGTACTGCTAGAAACTACTATTGGCTTTACCAAATAATAAATAAACAGTTGAAATGAATTAACAAATAGCTCTCCCAAAGGACAGCATTTTCAGTCAATCATTTATAAATGGGGAGCACTTAAATCAAAAATCAGCAGTTTGGGGCTGACCAGGTCTTGATGCATCTTAAAAGGAGCTTATATCAGAAGGCAAATGCTCAGCATCTTTTGAAAATGGAAGGACTCTAAGGTGTCTCAAGTCTGGTACCTAAATGATGTAATTTTCAAAAATCTGTGATCAGTTGTAAAATAATTGCCTTAAACTTCTACAGCTGTGGCTTAGTCCACTTTCTGTTGAGATGAAAATTTCATTTCAGATGGAGCCGTGGTAAGCCTTTAAGTCACAAAGAAAGAAAATCTGGAATACCTAAAACAGAACTGGGGATGTGCAGTTTGATGAGGTGCAATCTGCTTCTATTCTAATGGAAAGGTATGGCTGGTTTTTTTTTTATTCTTCTGTGTTGCAGTGCTGTGAGAGGATTGATGAGGTTTACCAAGTCCACTATATAGGCATTGATTTTTCTAGTACTGTATAATACCATGAAATCACATCTTGAGGTCAATAGGTACATGATTGCAAAGATAAAATAATGACATTTTGTTGTACATTTTTTTGAAAGGCAGCCTCTCCCTAGAATTGCTTGAATACTCTTTATTTAAAATTAGTTTGATTTGTAGGCTTTCTATGTTGCAAAATGTAGTATTGCTTCTGTCTATTGAATGATTTTACATACCATTATTTTAATTTTAAGAAAGCAATTCACTGGATATTGAAATACTGAGTAGCATCAACTTTGGGAGGGGAAACATCTGCTAGGAAAAGCTGCTACCTACAGCCCTCAAAGGCTGTGGACATTGTTTCCCACTGTCAGAGTGTTTTTTAAGAGTCTGATCCTAGGAAGACTTGGAAGCCTTTGCTGGAAGCAGAGGATTTTCAGGATTTACAGACATGCTGAACTGATGCAAATAGGAACTTCTGCCTGAACCAGGGTTTCAGGTGTTCATCATGTGTGTATCTTCTGGAGGAAAACTGCTTGTTTCACAGGTGATGGTAAAAGGATTCCTTGTTTAAAAACACCATTCTGAGCCCTGCAGAACAAATCACCAGTTAACACCAAGGCAAAGCAGAAGCTGCACTAGAATAAGGTTTATTTTCCCTTGAAAGGAGTAGAAGATGTTCTAACACAAATAATTTTGAAGTTTGAGCACACCCAGAAAATCAGACTTTTTGTTCAGCGCCTGACTGAGGAACCTGTACTTTAGAGGTGCTGACCTGTTGGAGCTCCACCTGCAGTCACTGCTGCTGAGCAGGGACTAGGCTGCGACCTTCTGGTGGGTGTTGGCAGTAAAAGCATTTGTGGTGAGGTTTCTTCAGGAACAAATAGGAAGTATGAACCCACAATGGCTCTTCCTCTAAACTCTAGAAGGTTTATTCTCTTACTTTCATTGCTCAGTTGATGCGGCTGTATTTGTTTGGTGGACACAAGAGTCCTGACCCTGTAGCAGCACAGGGTGGAGGGTTTCCTAGGGAACACCTCAGCTCCCTTCTCTACCCATGAGCCCAGGGGAAACCTGGCATTGCAGGAGAGGTGGGCACTTGCTTGGATTCAGACCTCTGCAAAACAAACAACATTTTCATTACATTAGCTGTACATTAGCTGTACATTAGCACAGGGAACACACAGACCAGTAGGACTGGTGGCTTTATGGCATTGTGATGGGGACTGCTTTGGTTTTTCACAACAATGTAAGCTTCTCCCTGTTTCCTTCAACAATGTGAAGGCATCAGGAGCAGTGACTGCAACCAAGCAGAAGTCCTCTGGCCATGCCTATGTTGTTTGTGATAAATATTCAAGAATAAATATCCAAGAAAAGCATTTAGCTTACATCCAGTATCTCAAGCAGGAGGAGAGTTCCTTTTCTGTGCTTTGCAAAGGACTGAACATTCTTCATATGAAAACTCAGTAAATTCCCAGGGTTGGTATGTATCATTGAGTTATTCAGTTTATGGCCCTGTTCCTGTTCTCCCGCAGTGGCATCTGATCCCAAGAGGAAATACTCACAGTGCATCACAGTATTGTGAGGTGAGTTTCTTTAATAGTGAAATAATGTGACTGAAAAAAATGTTAAGAGGGCCTTTGTGAAAAAGAGTTAATCTTGATTTTGTCTGACAGCATGTCTTACTACTTCATCTGATGTCCTTGAGTTTGATGATGTGATCTCGTTTGCCCTGAAATAAAAGTATGATAGCCTTTGTAAACTGTAGAACCATTATGAATTGAGCTGTTACAGAAATTACTTTAATATGGGGAAGAATGTGTGGTGTTTGTCAGTTTTTGCCACAAGGAATATTTGCCTATTAGCTAAACTTTTTCTTCAATAATGATGTTCCTTCCTTTCTGGAAGCTCAAATCCATGATCCCCAAACCTGTGTTTTATCTTACAATATTTATCTCATTGGACTTGTCTCAGCATAAAACTCTCTGTATTTCAGCGTGTTTAAGGCACTCTAATGAGGCCAGCATCGCACTGGTGTTAAGTTTTACATGAAGGAGACAATTTCCCTTCTGAAGCAATTCCTGGCAAAAGGCAAAAAGGCAAAGCCAAAAGTGGTGTGATATGACTTTTCAAAGGCTACAACATGGATCAGTAACAGGGGTATGGGCATTATCTCAGCCACATGTACTTGTGGCAGTGACCATCTGGAACACCATTTTTGATCAGTACACCTTCTCCGTAAGTCCTGTAAGAACTGGTACTCAAGAATCACCTAGTGAAAAAGAAAACCAGGATATATCAAGAGCGACACTTACCCTTTTAAACAAAAAAGTCAAATGATGCAAAGGACAAATAAATGCCTCCTTTGTATGTCTGGTGCATCCCCATTTCCAACCGAAGCATGTATTGTCTGTTCTGTGCCAAATAACCCTAATTCCAGGTAGATGAGGTTTATATAACCCTTGTGCTTCTGCACTGCTGTGGAGATATAGGACATGAGTTTTGTTTCCAGCCATGCCTCACATGCTGGGCTGTGTTCTGTTCTTGTTGAGCAGTTCTTGCAGACTTCCAGCCAGGTATCCATTATTCAGTGGGTCTTTCTTGCACTCAACACCTTCCTTTAAAATACCTCTCATATTGCAAAATCAGAGCACTTAGCAAATCTGACTTCATTATTTTTTTGTGGGCCATGTAGATTATGCTGGCACAGCATTATTCCTTATTCTGGGATCTCAGGCAGATAGGACTACAGTTCATTTTGAACTTGCTGTTACTTGCCAGGATTTTATGTTGCACTTCCTCCCCACTTGCTCCAGATCAAGCACATCTATGATATGAGACATACGCTCACCTTGGCAAGCTACAGAATTATGACCAAGATCACCAAAATACTGCGTAGCCGAGTGAATACCATGACAAGACTTCAGGGCTTGTAATTTTGAGACCTTTGAGACTTTTCTGCAATGTGTCAGGTTGGTGTTCGGGTTCTGGCCAGGACAGAGTTAACCTTTGCAGCAGCCATGAGGGGCAGCTAAAACTCTTGGACTAGTCTATACCACTTCACATCATGCACAGGGGATGGACCGGAAGGTGTTTGGGTTCAAGGTGCACAAGCGTGAGGCTGGGTCTGTGCGGTGAGCAATCTTGTGTGAGTAGTTTGCCTGTCTTGTACATTCTGTTATTAGCACCATTGTTCTTGTTCTTATTTCACTGCTCTTCCTAGTAAATTGTTCTTATCTCAACCCAGGATCTTCACTTTTTGTATCCCAATCCTCATTATCCTGTGTTGGGGGTGAGGTGGTGGGGAGTGAGCGAGTGGCTTGTGGTCAGGAGGGTTTCAGTGGGAAACATTAAATTGGGGAATACTATACCCAAACCATGACAGATGGGCACTTATAATTGCTAGTTATTTTGGAAGACCTTGGCATAGTGAAGAATGACCACCACTGGCACGAGTGAAAGGGGACGCACATATACCTCTCCTTATCAGGATAGGGCTCTGTGTGCTTCCTGATGTTTTAAACATGCTTTTTCATCACGATGGATAATTAATACGATGTCCTCCTGCAATCTTCTGTGCTGGGGAGAGAGACAGATGTTCCTGTTACACAGATCAGAGAGCTTAAGTAGTCTCAGCTGCTGTGTGTACATCTTGAGTTGGAAATGTGTCCCCGTCAGCTGAACTTTCACAGGCAGAGAGCCATCAGAGCATCTGGCAGGATGCATTCAGTCCACTTAGTTTAAGTGGAAATTAACAGATGTTTCGATTTTGTTTCATGAAAATGTTTTTCTCAAGCCAATGTAAGAAATACATTTAATTCAATTAAGTAAAGCCTTCTATTCTTTGGCAGGCTTTCAGTTGCTCAGAACACTGATTTCAGATCTTATTGGCTCAACGCTATTTAGAAAGTCACTAAGTTTTCCTGAAAAACAAAATAAAAACAAAAGAGCT